GAATCTCTGAATCACACAGGCCCCATCCCCAGCCCGCTCTCAATGGCTGCCATGCCCAGCCCAGCTCCCGGCTCTTTGAAAACAAGAGCCCACACTCACTGGTTCCTGGCTCTGCCAGGAGCCCCCGACCCTTCCCACTCCCCCAGCCCCACCATGGCTGTCCTGTCTGCCCTAGCTCCCGGCCCTTTAAAAAAAAAAAAAGCCCGTCTCACCAGCTTCTGCCCAGCTGGGGTGCAATCCATGCTGCGGGGGAGCGAGCGTGGGGGCAAGGGGGGAGCTCTTCCACAAGCCCTTAGAAGCATGGAGGCCGCTGCAGCAGCTGATGAGTCGGTTCTTCTTTTTAGTTTTTGTTTTCTTAAAGGGCCAGAGCTGGGGTAGGCAGGGCAGCCATGGGGGGGCTGAGGGAGTGGGTCAGGGGGCTTGTGGCAGAGCCCTCCGGCTGGGGCGGGCAGGGCAGCCATGGGGGTGCTGGGGGAGTGGGCAGGGGTTGGAGGGCACTCAGGGGGCCTGGGAGAGCAGGCAGGGGATGGGGGCTGGCAGGGGGCCCCCCATGGTCCCCTCCCTGCTCCTCCAGCCTCCCCTTCCCCACCCCTTACTTACCAGCTCCAAATCCTGGTCCAGCTCCCTGCTGCAGTGGGCGGAGAATGCCTGAATCGCCAAAGCTCTCCGAATCTTTTTCGAATCAATTCTGAGAGCTTCGAATCAATTCAGACCTTTTAATTGGTCCCCTGATTTGATTTGGATTCGGCCACCGAATGGGGCCAAATCCCCTCCGAATTGAATCAGCACCTGAAGCTTCACACAATCCTATTAATTACCATATTAATCTAAATCCAAGATAACTCTGAATTTAAGATGACCCCCTCAACAATTAGATTCTAAATATGAAAATCAACAAAACTCTTATAATTTTCCATGAACAAAATAACTATGCAGGGGGCTTATTTTAAATTCATCCCCTTTCCCTTCTGCAAAAAGGAAAGCAGTGGCAGAGGGGCACGCAGTGGGGGAGGCAGGAGTGGACAGGTAGTGGGGGACTGAAGCATCTTACCTCCTGCTGCCTACCCCTCCACACTTGCCCCACCTGCTGCCTGCCCTCCCCAGTGCTTGGCCTCTCCCTGCTGCCTGCCCCCTGCCTCTGCCCTGCAGCCTCTGCCCACCTTTCCCCCACCGTTTACACTTGCTGGAGCTCTGGCAGGGCTCTAACCCGTCTCCAGCCTGGGACATAGAACATGCCCCAGCCTGGCCCGGTATCAAATACAACAGTGCAGCAGCAGCTCTGTCCCAGACTTCAGGTGGGCAAGGAAGAGGCTGTGAGGGTCTGGAGGGTATGGGTAGAGATGGGAGGATATAGACAGTGCGCAGGGGAGGGACAGGCAGCAGATGTAGCTCCAGCCCTGACCCCAGGTTGGGGCCAGAGCCAGAGCTGCAGCAGCCATCTCCCTACCCCACCTCCTTGTATTCAAATCCAAGACAAGAAGCAATCAGGAGTAGGGGGCAGATGGGAAGCGGGGGGAGGCAGAGGGACAGTCAAATGTCCCCACCCCCCACTGCCTGCCCCCTTGAAGCTTGCACACTCCAGTCCCTCTCCCCCCTAGCACCTGCCCCCAAACACTTCCCTACCATCACTCCCTGCTAAGACTGCTTCCTCCATGACACCTGCTTCTCCTGCCACAGCCTCTGCTCCCTCTCCACTGCCTGCTCCCCCTCCCAGCCACTGCTGCCCCTCCCCCACTGCCTCCTCCTACTACCCCAGCTGCTGCTTACCCCTCTGGCTCTGGCTCTGGCTCTGGCTCTGGCTCCAGCCAGATTCTGGCCTAGGGTAGTTATGGAGGCCCCAGATCCAGAGCCAGGACTGGATCTGCTGCCACCACTGCTGCTTCATGGTCAGACCAGAGCCAGAGCCACCATGTGCTCCACCAGGGCCAAAACCAGAGCTGCAGAAGGTAAGCAATGGTGGGGTGTAGGGGCAGAGGCTGAGAGGGGCAGGTGGTAGAGGTGGGTGATCAGGTGACTGCTGCAGCTCCAACTCTGACCCTGGGTTGGGCTGGAGTCAGAGCCACAGAAGCCACCTACCCTCCATGCTGCTTGTACTCAAATTGAAGACAAAAGGGTTTTTTTTTCCCATGTTAAATGGCAGGGAACCTTGACTTGGACTCAAGAAAATATCATAGGCTGTGTCCTATGTTTCAGACAGGTACTGACTGCACTATGGCCCCTTCCACAGTTGTGTATGTTTAATAATAACCAGGGATCCTGGTTTTCTCTGATAAAAAAAATAACAAATTCTCTCATGAATACCCCAAACCACAGGTAAATTGAAACACTGATATATATGTATGTACGTATCAATAGAACACATTATAATCTGCCTGGCAGCTGACTCCCCAGCCCAGCCCCTGGCTTCTTTACTTTTCATTCCGTCCAGGAAGAGCACACACCAACTGCTGAAACTTCCTTAGTTTTTGAACCCGAAAGCTTGCTTAAAAACTATTCTCCAACTATTTGGGTTGGTCTAATAAAAGATATCAAATTCACCCAAGGAACCTTGTCCATCAATAGAACACAAGGTTTTATTGATATATTTACAATTTGAAAGCAACTTGGAAGCCTACCAGTGCCTCAATCATTATAATAAAAGAAATTCTAAATACCTATACATTTTGGTATTTGATTTTTTTAGTTTTGTATCATGGAAAATCAGAGTTTCCCTTGCCCCCTTAGCTCACAGAACGCAGGTCCAGGCCCCTCACTCCCAAGCAACAGCCCCCCAGCCCGGCCAGTGCCTGTCACTTGCCCACACAGCCCCCAGCCCTGTTGGTGTCCCTTGCCCCCCCCCCCCCAGCCCTGCCAGATAGGGCCCCCAGCTGCCAGGGCTATGGGGCCCTTGGCCTGGGTTTACAACCCCCTGCTCCCCACAGTAGCACCTGAGCCTTGGCTGCCGCCCATGGAAGGCAGCAGCTGCTGCAGCATAGCAAAGCGTGGAGCCCAGTTCCTCCTCCCCTGTGCGTGGCATGGCTGGAGTGGCTCCTGTTATGGGATGGGTGCAAACTGACTGCTGCAGACTTGGGGTGAGGCCAGCTCCCCACTGGTGCACTCATTCCCGGGGGCGGCAGCTGGGACCTGTGTCCCCTAGATCTGTGTGCGGGGTGCAGGTGGGCTGCCCATTGTAGGCTTTGGCCCCAGGCCCCATGCGCCACCTGGCTGGGCAGCAGCCCCAGTCCCAGCCCAACTCCCCTTCCCCCCACCAGACGTACCTGTGGGAGCTGCTCTCCAGGCTGCCTGGTGGCCATGCACATGATGCCCCCTGCCTGACCACCCTCCCCCTGCTTTCCCTGCCCCTTGCAGGGTGGAACTCTGTCAGCCTGCAGAGAGCTCTTTGCAAAAGTGCAAAATCTGTGCGTTTCTCCATTAAAATGAAAAATCCATGTTTTTCTTAGGTAAAAAGAGAAATCCTAATTTTTTCCCATTTTTCCATGGGAAATGGAAAGCCTGGATCCCTGATAATAACCGAGTTTTAACTGAGCAACATTTAATTCATCAGAGCTGTTCCGTAAATCAGACCACCCACTTAAGTGCCTAGATATAAACTTAATTTTGGGAGATGGAAAGAAAGTAGGCACCCAACTTCTATTGGATGGCATTTTCAAAAGCCCTTAATTTGTTTAGAAGCAGAAGTCCCATTAACTAACCCTTAGGCTCACAAAATGAGGTTTTTCAAAAGCTTACCTTTAGAAAATTGGTCTTAGTATATCAGGTCAATTTGTGAGGATATTTAGCAAGGAGGTGTTCACTGTAGACCAGTGCTTCCCAATCTTTTCCCAGCATGACCCCATTTATGACCCCATTTCCTCAGCATGTTCCCTCACTCCCTATCCACAGCCCCCCATCCCCCAGCACTGCTGGCGCCCCTCACTCGGGACTGGGACCAGGGCCAGGGCCCACAGCCCACTGCCCTCTCCAGCAGCACCCGAGCCTTGGCTGCTGCCTGCAGGTGGTGACGGCTGCTGTGGCCAGAGTGGAGCACAGAGCCCGGGTCCCTCCCCGCCATGGGTGGCATGGCCAGAGTGGAGCCTATAGGGGGGGATGTAGGCTGCCCATTGTGGGCTCAGAACTCCCCATCCTGCTGCCCTCCCCCCAGGGGCCTCCATGGCCCAGCAGGCAGGACCCAGCACAGGAGGATGGGGAGGCTCAGTGCTGCTGCTGGGAGCTCCATGCCAGTGGTGTCACCCTGGCATGATGTCCCCTGCCCACCCAGCAGCAGTGGCAGTGTGGAGTTGTGCCCCCTACTGCTGCTGGGCAGGCAGGGGACACCTCACCATGGCAGCACGGCTGGCACCGGGCTCCCTGCACTGTCACCAAGCCCCCCCACCCCATTTTGCCACAGAAGCCTTGTGGGTAGGGCTGCAGGTCGGGGAGCACTGAGCCTGCAGCTGGCAGCCTGGATCCACCCCTGCCCCATGCACAAATCTGGGGCTTATGTGCCCCCCATGCCTCCCTCCCTGGGACTGAGTGACCCCATATTTTATCATTGCAGCCCCAAATGGGGCCATGACCCCAAGGTTGGAAACCATTGCTATAGACAGTGCTCACTTGCATAGTGATGGTTACTTGAAAGTATGATCATTTGGAAGAAATTTACAACGAACAGCATCTTTAACAAAACTACATTTCCTGTCTCTTGGATATAACGTAATTCCCCTAGGTGACTGATGTTTCTCGCTTGTGTTTTTCCTCTACCTTCTTCCCCAGGACCTACATACAAAGATTTTCTTTAGACCTGAATCCAGTAAAGCACTTAAACAAAGACATGAATAGGACCATTTGTGTTCATATACTTGCTTAGACTGGAGCCTCAATAAAAGTACCTTTTAGATCTTTACGAATACATTCATCTTATATTTGATTCAGAGCACAGCCACTGAAGCTTTACTGTTTCATATTATCTCGGTAACAATTTTCTTGGCCTCAAGAAAAACAAATGCATTTTTCTTTTTCAGACACTCTCTTCCAGAAGATGCAGGAGAATATTTTGATAAGGAGACAAGGGTTCTGGAAGTCCCAATGACGATATCAGTTGCTGATAAGGTTAGTGATAATTTGTATTGAAAGTAGTAGATGATATAAATTTTAACAAGATTTCCACAAGCCAAGCATCCAGAATAGCAGTGTTGAAACAGCAGTCATTTTGTGCTGCTTCAGATGGTGATATCCTTACACAGAGCAAGTGGCACCTTACTCTGAACTGTCCTGAAATCAAAGCAGTAGGATGGATAAGTGACAAGGTATGTATCCTTATTCACAGAGCGATCTTGTTGAATACCAGGCAGGAGTACACGTGGACTCAGCTACCACTCCTAAGTAAGGAGTGGCAGACCTAGTCTTCAGCAATCCAGAGCATAGATCTGTGTTCTAGCAATGACCGTGATATATTTGGGGGCCAAATGTATGCCATCATCATAGATACAATTGGTTGACTTCAGTGAAGTTGCTCTTGGAGATACTACATCTACATTTGCTCCTTTATGTTCTAATGAGTCTTACTCACTAAAAGGTATTCAAAATGGTACAATAAATTGCTGAACTGGCTGAAGCCCTAACAAGCATCTTTAAAATATAAACTCTGGAATTTCAAACCCTATTAAAGGTGCTCAGTTATTCCTTGGGGCTCCCTATATTACAGACCACTCTCAGGTATCACAGTACAAAGTTTTATTTTGACAGTATAAAATGTTGTACAGCAAGCTTATCATACATGTATCTAAAGAGGAATATTTTATACTGATGGAAATGTAAGGCTATGCCAGTATATGGATTTTGAAATACCTAGGTGGTTTTTTTTGTTATTTTTTGTTATCAGAAAGAGAAATTTAAATTGCTTATTGTAAGAGAACAGTATTAAGCTGAAGTTCAAAATAAACATGTTAATTAAAACAAATGCAGTTGAGGAATAGAATACAACATCTTCACTTATACTGTGTTTTATAAGAATCATGTCATTTAAATCATAGACTTTAATTCTTACTTGGTAATTCAGCTGTAATTCTTACCAATGTTCTTGCACTTGTTTCAGGTTAAACCAGTTACATTTACTGTCCATGCAATTGTTACCACCTCTGATTTAGAAATCAGTCCGGCTGAAGTGAATTTTGGATATTGCACTATCTATGAAGCTGTTCAGACAACCATCACTCTAACAAACAAATGTATCCTGCCACAAGAATTCGGATTTGTGGATCTCCCTGAGGTGTGGTAACTACCCCCACTTACTTTTTCTGTTTAAAATTCACTTAATTCTTGTGAGACCCTCTTAGAATGAATTGTGATTGATTGTCATGGTTATACCCCTACCAGCAACACTAAGAACTGTAAGGATCAGATAAGTATTCTAATTTGCATATGTAAATTCAATCTTAGTGTACCACTAAGCACTCGCAAAAGTAATATAACAGCAGTAAGCCCACTCCAAATAATATACTGCCATAAAAGTTTCACTCTTCCTCCTCCCCCCCACCCGACACCATCTCCCAGATAAAATAGGTTAGTATCATCAGCTTTTAGAACAGAAAACCACACTCTGGCCTCAAAAGGCATCTGCAGGGACTTAGTCCTCAGGGGATGGATCCAAATAGTGGCTGTAGGCAAATATCTATAGTCCTCAGGGGATGGATCCAAATAGTGGCTGGAGGCAAATATCTAGTGCCAAATTTAAAACTTCACTTTCAATTGTAAAAGCCTGTTAAAGTATGGCCCAGGTAAAATGATTTCAGTGGAACTGGAAGAAAAGCTTTAGAAATGCCATCAGGGATTTTTTTTTTTTTGTTCATCAAGAAGAGAACCCAAAATAGTTACTGCAGTAGCAGAGTGAGATAGATATCCCTGTTCCTGTGCTAAGGTCTTCATGGATCATGGAAGGCAAGAGACAGCAGCATTCACATACAAGATCACAAACCACCTCAGCTTTGTCTACATACTTAATTTAAAAAGTGTAGTTCAAGTGATTATTGTGCCTAGGTGACTCCAAATCACTTATGGATGTTCAGTAGTGGATCCAGGCCAGCAAACAGGGTGCAGCAGTGGTGGAAAACTCACTGCGGACATTCGGCAAGCTCAGTGCACATGTGTCCAGCAACCAGGACTGGAGCTCTGTGATGAACCAGCAGTGAAATGGAGTGCAGGTTCCCATTGCACTCGCCTGATCCACCTCAGGATATGTTCAATTTACAAATTGCAATGTTTTCTATCTCTCAATCCTGCAGACAACCAGGGCTTAGAGTCCAGTTAGGTTATTTCAGGTTCATGCATCACTGGCAGCATTAAAAATTCTGCAGGACAAACTGGCCTCTGTTATACCTGGGTAACTCGAATTTTCCTTAACTTCCAGATATATCCAGTTATCAAACTGTACAAATTAATTATTGGTTTCCTAAATGACAAACATCACTGGATCCTACAGTGCTGCTTTCTGGAGGTCACAAT